TGTGTGTGTGTGTGTGTGTGTGTGTGTGTGTGTGTGTGTGTGTGTGTGTGTGTGTGTGTGTGTGTGTGTGTGTGTGTTTCTGTGTCTTGTCTTTCTGCCTTAGAATAGACAACCACAAACAAAAGCGAACACCGAAAATAATAAGAAAAAGGAGGATGAGAGGACCAAGATGAAGAGGAGCAGGAGTAGGTGGCGAAGGAGGACATTTACATGGGTGGGAACCAGTTCAGCTACCAGGCAGCACTGAACATTACCTAGCCGTGTAGGGGAATCTCTTGCGCGTACTATCTACCTTCGTCCGGAGTGGAACTTGTATAGGATGAATATGAAGATGGCTTGACAATGTGTAGAAGCCTCAGAGTCTTTTGCACGAACTATCTACCATGGTCCCGTGCCGAACTTGTATAGGATAAATGTGAAGATGAGTTGAAATCCTACAGCCTATCTGGCTTGGGAAGGGACTGCCATATTCTGACCGACATGATTGACATCTTCCCTTGCCAAGCATGCAAGAATCACCACAGATCTGCTTCTGGTGATGTTTCCCGCCTGAAGTATTTTCTCAAATTAGTACGAGTGGCAGAATCACCTCTGCTTCAAAAGCTCTCTCAAATGAGTACGAGTAGAATGCCAAGTAAGTAGTCTGGTGCCCCCCAGAATATAAGGCGCTGATGTTTTCTTAAAACAAAAAATAATAATAATAATAAATTAAAGGAACGCCAAGTAGTACCCCCAGATCAGATCCATCCAGTACTTGCGAGACAACTCACAAGGCCCCGTGAAGCCCTCACAAGGCAATGCCATGACTCGTGAGCATTCCAAATGTGAAGGTGAGTTCTGTAGGAGAAAGTCTCTTGGACATGTACTGTGCAGTGTGTACTCTCTACCTTCGTCCAGTGTGAAACTTGTACAGGATAAATGTGAAGATCAGTTGAAATCCTACAGCGTATCCGGCTAGGATTGCCATATTCTGACTGACATCGACGTCTTCCATCCCCAAGCGCTCAAGAATCGCCTTTGCTTCCGGCGAGTTTTCCTGCCTGAAGTGCTCATAAACAAAACTCTCGAACGAGTACGAGTGGAATGCCAAGTAGTAGCCCCAGATCCAGTAGTTGGGAATTGACGCCCGTGGCACCATGAAGCCCTCGCAAAGCATGAACATGCCGAAGAGCCCGGCGCCCAGTGCAATGCCAATTATGTAATGCGGGACGGCGGCACCGATCACGTGCATGAGGGACTCAGCAACCACAAGAGAGAGGAACAGGTTGAGCAGGAACGAGCCAAAAGAGTTGATGTCAGCAAGAAACACCACAAGCAACGACGAAACGAGTGCAATGAGAAAGATCCCCGGCAGCGCGGCGAGGAAGTTTGCCAGCACGTAGCTGATCACACTCAGCGACGAGTTGGCCCGTTCCCGTGTGAAGACCGGGCGTTGTTCTATAAAGAAGGGAAGCACAGCCACGGACATGAAGACCAGGAATGCCTGCACGTAGAACAGCAGAGGCACTATGTCCTGTTGGGAGATGTCCTTGTTCGTCCGCAAGTACATGGTGCCGACCATGAACGATAGCATGATGTACATGAAGAGTCTCACCCAGAAGATGCCTGGATTACGAACGTTGTTGATGGAACCGCGATACATAAGCACCCAGAACTGCCTCCACGCAGACGGTGCAATCGGCTCCAACTGCTTGGTGGCCTCTGCGACTGCACTGTGTCGATCCTCGCTGATATCCCTCGTGATCTTTGCAGCGGCCGTGCTTGAGGCGTAGGCATTCACGAGGGCGGGGATGTCAGCATGGCCTTCGAAGTCGGCATTCACCAATTCAATGAAGTACTCAGCTGGGTTGGAGTACGTCGGACAGGCATAGCCGGCAGAGGCGAAGTGGTCTATGCTCGCACTGCAGGACCCAAAATACACCGTCTTCCCTTTACTCAGGATCATGAGATTTGTGAACATGTCAAAGACCAGTGACGATGGCTGATGGATGGTGCAGATCACATTCTTTCCTTCCTGACACAGTCTTTTGATGAACTTCATCACATTGAAGGTCGACGACGAATCCAAGCCCGACGTCGGCTCATCCAACAACAGAATCGACGGGTTGGACAGCAGCTCGATGGCAATGCTCAGCCGCCGTTTCTGACCTCCAGAGATCCCCTTGTGGAAGATATCACCCACCAACGTGTTCCTACAGACACTGAGACCCATCTCATCAACTACATCCTCCACGCGCTCGTGTATCATCGCGTTATCTACGCTATACGGGAGCGAGAGCTTGGCGGCCATCGTCAGTGTCTCTAGGACCGTAAAGGATCCAAGCAGCGACTCTTCCTGAGCCACGTAGCTTGTCACTGCCCGAAAGGTCTTGGCGTTGCGCTTCGCACCGTTCAGTTCGATTGTCCCTTCTATCCGACCAGTCAGAGAGCTGATGCGATCTGCTAGAATATCCAACAACGTGGTCTTTCCCGATCCAGATGGGCCCATCACAGCCGTCAATTCTCCTGGCTGAGATCTGCCCGAAACTCCCTGCAGGATGACCTTCCTGCCATCGGGGCTCTCCTTGCTTGTCTTGGTCTGTACTGTGAATGTGAGGTTTGACCAGCTCAACGTGCATGGATTCTTCGTTTGGTGGCCAGGTCGGGCTGACAGGGTTGCTCCGACGCTGACAGCTGCTTCCACGTCCTTCATTTTCTTGATCAGCTGGATTTGGAACAGAGGGCCTGGCAGGTCATGATGGCAAAGGTTACCCCCAAAGAAAAACGTTCTCAACCCAACGGCGGTCAGACAAGATCATCCAGAAACAGAAAGAAAGAAAGAAACCAAACTAAACAAAAGTAACTGTTACAAAACAAAAAAGAAAAAAGAAAGAAAGAAAGAAAGAAAGAAAGCAAACCTAACAAGGTTAACCACGGACTCCAGACACAACCCAGATATGTCCCAACATCTCAGAGTCCGAGGGTTTTTTTTTTTTTTTTTTTTTTTTTTTTTCCCCTGAACATCGGTGGGAGGAAGCAGCCCTCTTTGGTGGACCCCCGGGTGAAGGCTCCATCTATTGGTGAGGAGCGGCAAAGTCTGTAGCCTCTTGTCAGGTATTTTGAGGGGTGCTGGATCTGGATTTTCCAGCAGGTGCAGCTCCCCATCAATACGGTTGGATCCTGCGATGACATCTGCAGATCTATTACCAAGGGACTTGCGCTTGGGCCACAGGCTGCAAGTGACAGACGTAAATATACAGAGTTCGGCCCGGCTGGAACAAGACGTGCGGGATGGGTGAATATTCAGCACCCCTTGGAAACACGTTCCTTTTTGCAAAACACTGCGGCCATGGATGATGAAAGACTGTGTGATTCACACAGCAAGACGGCCGCGCACTGTCCACCTCAAAGTTGTAGACCAATGGTGAAACAGTGCATGATATACTAAACACAGTGTGCCCAGGGCACAGATGATGCAGGCAGAGACATGGCACACAATTGGGACGTGAAAGGACAGCCCCCCACTTTTATTGTTTAAGCCTTTAAGGTGTTTAACTTCAATACCATCATCATTAGTGCTTATAACGATGACGCCTACTGCAATTCCTTTGACAACGTCAAGTTGAACAGCGCATGTGACGATGACATCTACAATACTACCGTTGATAACAACGTCCACTGCAAGAAACAATTTGACATTACCAATTATTCTGGCCATAATTAATGACGACAGTGTCTACTATGCCAACAACAGCTGACTGCCATTTTGAACGAAATTGAAACCGAGTTTTTTGGGCGAAAACTCGTCAAAATTTGCTGTTCCTGAGGGACCCCCTGGCTGTACATGGACCTAGCTTGAGACCAGGCACCTCCAGGCAGTGCACCTCCAGGCACTGCCTGGAGGTGCCTGGTCTCAAGCTAGGTCCATGTACAGCCAGGGGGTTACAAACGCTGGACCCTCAGGAACAGCAAATTTCGACGAGTTTTCGCCCAAAAAACTCAGTTTTAATTTCAATTTCGTTCAAAAAATAAAAAATGTCCATTTTGACGAAATGGTCGTTAGCTAGTATTACCGAGACAGCAACCACGGTAAGTGCTGTCCGGTCTCCGGTACCTGTCACCCTGTGTGGAGCTTTTCGGACAGCCTTCAGATCCATGACGGGATCGAAGGGCAGGCGGGCGAGGGTCTCTAGATAGCACAGATCTGTTGTGTCTGCTGCTGCCACTCTCCTCACGGCCTTTGCAAACTGGGGGGTGCTGTTGATTGGACGGTGTGGCAAGGGGCAATGAAGCAGCGATGAGTAGCTTGCCATATCTCTCTGGCAGTGGACATTGTTGTCAACGGTTGTGAACCTCCCAGACCCCCCTCACGGTACCACAAATTGAAAATTCATAGCTCTACTTTCAAGCCCTTCTTGGAAGATCCCAGCAAAACACACATACCGGTGACTACATGACCACAAGGTATAGAGCAAAAAAGGGGAAACCAATCAGCGCTCAGTGAACCTCCCAGACCCGCCTCACAGCAGCCTGAACCGCCTCATGTCCCTCCCTATCTCCCCAAGAAGAAGCTATAAAGTAAGAAAGAGGCAACCAATCAGCGCTCAATGAACCTCCCATACCCTCCCCACAGCAGCCTCAACCACCTCCTGTACCGCCGTATCTCCTGCAGAGTCCCATGGAAGCGACTCATCGCTGCTTCATTGCCCCTCGCCACACCGCCCAATCAACAGCATCCCCACACTGCGCACAGGGCGTGAGGAGAGTGGCAGCAGCAGACACAACAGATCTGTGCCATCTAGACCCCCTCACCTGCCCTTCGACCCCGTCATGGATCTGACGACTGTCGGAAAAGCTCCACGCCTTAGGGTGACTCTACAAGCCTTAGGGTGTAGAGTGCTCCTCATTTGTGTTTTCTGACAGCTGTACAAACTACTACAAGTAATTTCTCATAGACAAAAGGATAGTTAGTGGAGCGATGACCCAACTCTACAAACTGTACAGTGCAGGGCAGTGGAGGGTAGCGAGGCAATTTGTAGAATCGAAAGTTTTTGGATCCTCCTCTCCAAAAAGAAGGAAAAGGAAAAGTATGTCATGTGTCTTTGATAGTGATGGGGACTCAGGATTTAGGACTAGTAGTGGGGACTCAGGATTTAGGACAAGGAGAGGAAAATTACTCCTGTCCTGCTGGTATTACACCGGCTCATAGACTGTTCGCCCTTCCGTTCCACTGGGGTTGGCACTTCCATGGGCAGTGGAAGCAAATTAGCTAACTGGATTACAAGCCAGAGACTGGTTACATGTGTCAAAATTAATCCTGGTCCTTGCCCCAGAGGTTAAAAAAAGATAGCACTGACTGGCCTAGCTAAGTTGGTACACCCCCTGGACTGTTGAAATACAGACCTGAGTTCGAAGTCCACTGCAAGCAGATGAGTGGAAATACTACAAGTGTGAATTACCTTGGGCTGATGATATCTTAAGGCCCTCCCCCTCTAAAAATAAAGGGAAGAAGAAAAAGGAGGAATGAGAAAAGGCGAGAGGCAGATTTTTCTTTTCATAAAAGGAGGGAAACATAGATGGCTGATGGAAGATTGGGGCAGGTCACAGTTGGTGAGCAATGTTACCTCAGTCGCACTAACGAAAATGTGGAGGGATCTGCGGTTCATCTTGCGTGCAGACACACAGGGTGGTCCCCAGACTCCCCACAGATAAGTAGCCAACAGGCAACAGGTTCCCCATCGGCGGTATTGGCTGCACATGTAAAACAAATTGAGGAATCTGCGTCTCATCTGAGGTGGGGGTGCGCAGAATAGAAATCTGGTTTGGCTACTATGACAGTCTGAACATGTTTTGAACGCAACCCCCCGCCATCCGCATGCGCCGTCCGGAGCTACGAGATGGGGGAACTCGTTCTTCAAAATAAGTACCTGTATATTTCCATGTTCTAGAGGAAGATTGATTCGATTTTGCTCATCCTATCCATGGAAGTAGCGTGATGTCACTTGCAAGTACTGGTGGTTTAAAGCGCCAGAACATGGGCACCTGGGGCGCAGGCCTGACACCTCGAATTCTGGAAGCACAAAATGAAAACGCAACCGCCTATCCAATTTATCAACCGCAGGCCCAGCATTTGACGTTTTGGCCTCGTTTTCTTGTGGCCAAATTTCCAACTGCAAGGCTGGGGCCGTGTACTGGTGGTTCAAGGCAAGGATCACATCCCCCACAAATCCCTCCCCTCCAGTTTTGAACCCGAGTCCCCAGCCAATCAAGGCAAGGATTGGAAACAGGACCCCCTCCCCAAGCCTATCCTTTGGCAATCCCTCCCGCACCAACAGCTCTGGGTCTCACCCAGTCAAGACAAGCATCGCATCCCATGCAAGCAATGGGACCCCCCTCCTGCCTACCACCCCCCTGATCAGATTCAAACACGCAACCTGCCCCACACAACCCTCCCGTCAAACCTACTGAGCTACTGTGTAGATTACACAGTTGTTTTCTTAGCCAAAGCCGGGTAATGGCCCCAGTATCTCAAGGATCTCTCTTTAAATTTCTCATTTTTTCAATATGATCTTGAATGGGGCGCTGGGCCCTGTTCCCAGCACGTGCAGCTCCCCACGAATAGATTGGAGCATGTCCCGTTTCAAAAAAAAAAAAAAAAAAAAAARAAAGAGATACTTTAGCAACTGACTATTTGTGTGCTATCCACAGACAAATGCACACTCAACTGGACAACCCTCCCAGTGCAAAACCTCTATCCCAGTGGTGGTAAGAGATCCACCGGGATTGAGGCTTTGCCTGGTGGGCCGCTCCATCTATTGGTGGGGAGCCTCACCTGCTGGAAACCGGGTCCAACGTCCCTTAGATACATCTTTCTCTTTTTCACTATTGAGTCTGACACCACAGTGCTGGAAACCGGGTCCAGCGTCCCATGTCCGGATTATAACATCCCTGCCTACCCTGAGGTGTGGTCGGGTGTGGGGGGGGCCCACTGGGGGCACCGGTGGAGACTCCCTCCGAAACCCAGCCCTACCCACCATCCACTGTCCTCGTGGTGCAGGTAAAAATGAGGAGGTAAGATGGAGGTAAAACAAGAAGTGGAGTGAGAAGTAGAATGAGAAGTGGAATGGAAGTAAATGAGAAGTAAGAAGAACCGGAAAGACCGGCAAAGACTGAGAAATATTGCAGAAGCATGAATATGAAAAGTCTGGAGAGGCTGAGATAAGCCTGAAATAGGCTGAACAATACCGAACAAAAAAACTGACGCTAAACAACCTCATAAGACTAAGGGAAGACTGAACAAGACTGAACAAGGCTGATCAAGCTCACGACTCAGGTGGCACTTCCTCCAAGGACAAGGGGGGGGGGGGGAAAGGGTCTGCAAAATCCTGGGCGGGTTGTAACGGGTCTCCCTGATCTAGCTTAGTCCAATCGTGGAAAACCAAACGATGATCTCTTTCAAGCTCAACCGGGTGTTCCTCTTGCGGATCTCTCTCCAATTGCTGATCCCCGGCCCACCTTACCTCCGCCACCCATCCCCACCT